CATTATTGTTCCACCCTGGTAGCTGAATACTTCCTGAGTCGCGGCAATACGTTCCAGATTTCCGGGTCGTCTCCACACGCGAATTCGACGTGAATCTGGACGAAAACCGAATCGGGATTCGTCTGTAAAAAGTACCGTAGACCATTCTTGATGTCCCTAGTGTTGATGTTCTTGTGCCCATCCTTGTCTTTGTGCGCGATTATTTCTCCTTAGCGGGGGAACACGGAGCGGCCTGCAAGCATGAAGGTTGAACTGGTGCAACCTGTTTCTGACAGTTTGGCTGCTCATAGTAATATGGTGTGTGCGGTATAACTCATTTGCCAACTGACCCGCTGTAACAGTACGATCTCGTAGTGCCTGTAATCGAATAAAACGGTCATGTAGAGGGTCAGTTGTTCTCGTACGACCAAACGGTATCTCGTCATCAATCGACAAATCACACTAGCTGATGTGTTAAGTACCTCCGCTACTGCTCTATAGTTTTGGCCCCCTTCAATCATCCCCACTGCTCGCCACTGTTCTTCCCGATTTAAATGTCGTCTTTCCATCATGAATAACTAAACTGAACACTAATTCGAATACCAAAAATCTCATTTTGTCCTGCATAGAAACAAAAACCAAAAGAAAAAAATACGATATTTTTATCTATAAAAGACAACAAAAATGTATGCACATTTTATCAATTGCCAATCCTTCAAAAAAATGTATACTGTAAACAAAAAGGTATCAGACATATCTACAAAAATTTTCACTATAATACCTGGTGTCTTCAAAAAGTGATAACAATTTTATTCCTTGTTCCCTAGATTATTTTGATGTGTGTATATTCGAAATACATCGTCACTGTTGCCTGCCGCGGCGACATGCCGCCACCGCAGACCGCACTACCGCTCTTGAACCAGTACGAGTAGTGTAGTTGGCTCGACTGCAGATTGTTGAAATTGGTGAAAATGAGTTTTTCGAATGCGGAAGAAGAAAAACTTATCAATCTAGTGGCCAAATATTCAAGCAAATGATTTCTAATCAGCACTGAATAACTGCCTTCCGTTTTTCTAGTTTTAAATAATCGTATCGTATGCTTTCTTCTTTTTCTGAAATAATGTAACAAAAAAAGGTCGTCGTCGTCTTCTTCTTCCCATAGAATGCTCAAAATATCCCGAGGGTCAAACACATCAGACATTTTCTCTGGTTATACAGGGAGGGTGTCCGTTTTAAGTGATACCACTATTGCTATCTCCGAAAACGTAAGAGGTACGAGGTCGGTTAAATTAGAAAAAAGTTGCCTTTTTTGATGCTTATTCAAGACTCGTTTACAGTGTTGCCAAATTCCTTTTAGTTTACGAAATACAGGGTGATTTCTAGAAAACGCCTAAAAATATTTCATCAATTATTTCGAAAACTATTGATTTTCGGGACACAATTTAAATTTGAAAGTTTTAAATTTTTTATCGCTCTACAACATGGCATATTCAAATTTCAAATCCGCCGTTTCGTGATCGAGCTATCATCATCAACTTCATTTTTTTAAATACGGACCTTGATTTTTTATGTCATTTTTAGAAAGCTCCCTGTATTCCCTTTTCAGCGATATACCTCTTAAGTATGATTGGCCGACGTTTCTGCTCTAAAAAGTGATCATCAGTGATTTTTACTAAACTTTTACCTTAATTCGACCCTGGAATTCGTTATTTGTAACAAAGGCGGTCTAACAAGTACTTTTTTCCTTTTATTAAGAACACTTAGAATTATCTGATTGAAGAAGTCAAGAGTGGTTCATGGTTCCTGTATTTAACAAGGGTGACATGGATGCTGTGAACAACGACCGACCTATCTCACTTGTCCCAGTGATATCCAAGGTATTTGAATGCTTACTGTATTCATACTTTGAGAACTCGATACTGTTTCCTGAAAACCAATTTGACTTCAGGACCAACTGCTCAGTGCTCAGGCTGCCTTGGAGCTGCTTTTTTGTATAGCGGAGGCATTTGAGAGGGGGCAGTATGCATGTGTCACATGCTGGCTGCTACCTCTCAAAGGCATTTGACTGTGTTACCCATTGAATTCTTCTGGACAAGCTTAAGGCCTATGGTGTCAATGACCACCCTGCTGAAGCATTACTTGGACGACCGTACCCAAATCACATCATACAAGGAATAAACATCTAATGAGGCAGTGATGCGGTTTGGAGTGCCCCAAGGCTGGGACCTCTTTTGTTCCTAGTCTACATAAATGATGTGAACCGCTCCATACCTCTTTCCACAGTGTTGCTGTGTCCTGGAGACGGATGTGGAGATTGGCTACCTGATACAATAGATGAATCGTAGTGTAAATAACCTAAAGAACTGGTTTTCTGCTAATAAACTGGCATTAAACGACAGCAAAACTGAGCGCATCCTTTTTGGACTGAGAAAGATTGAGAAGAACGTGGAGGAATTAAAGTTTCTTGACCCAACTTTGAGGTTTGAACGACACGTGGATCAGATCTTCATCCGCTTGTCCAGAAACATATTTTTGCTCAGAAACCTCAAACAACTGCTGCCCAGGGATACCCTTCTTCAGACATTTCATGGCATTTTTCAGTCAGTGGCTTTTTATGCTATCTTGGTGTCGGGACACGCACCAAACTCATCCCGTATCATTGGAGAGGTTGGCGATTTTGTTGAGTGACATTTCGGTAAATTCCATGTTAATTTTGACTGGCGATCTCAACGTGAATTTCTTGGACAAGTGCAATAGATCTAATCAATTACTAAGTAATTTGTTGAACTCGTTCAACTTAAAGATGCACGTGGATCGGCCAACCCGCTTTTCCGCATTCTCTGCCTCAATACTGGACTACTTCTGCACGAATTTCAATCAGACTGAAATTCAGTGTGTAACGATCAATGCCGGTTTGCCTGACCACGAGGCAATGATGGGACTTGTGCCCTTTGGCGATGAAGCTGATCAGGGTGAGTTTAGACGCGGTAGATTTTATACTAGGACAAACTTTTCCAAATTTTCTTCGCTTTAACACCGATCGGAATGGAATGACGTTCTGGCTACTGTCAGCCCATGTTGCTGAGTAATTTTGACATTGCCTTCCCTATTGTCAGTATAAAGAAGCAGAAGAGAAAATCCTGGTTTACAAAGGGCCTGCGGAACTTCTAGAAAAGACATGCGCTCCCTTCATTACATTAGAAAATTCTCTATGAACAATCCAATATTTTTAAACTATTTTGATAGGTACCGAAGGGTTTACAGAAGATCGATCAGGCTTGCCAAGTGGAATTTCTTTCCGAATAGGATGAAAATTCTTCTAATAGATCATCGTATATTCTAGCACATGCAGCCCTTATACTCTCTTTGAATTGTTCTGTCTCTGATATTTTTGTAAACTCCATAATAAAAATCACTGTACTCTTCCTTATTTTAACAATTATTGTAAAATGAATATTGCCTGGCTAGCGAAACGGCGAAATGCAAAAGAATTTGCTGCTTTGTCAAACTTGACGGAAATTAGAAACAAAAAAATAAAGTTGGTGACATATTTATTTTTTTGCTATATGGGCATGTGTAATATTTTGAAATAGGAAAAAATCAGGCAACATTGCGAAATGATGGAAGTGGAGAGGCGTGATTATTCAGAAACAAGATTCTATTGGTTAGAGCCTGAACGACAGCACGCAGTGGCGTTGTTATTGGCGAAACTAGAGAATCTTTTTCTAATAATTTTATTGGTTTATTTCCTTGGTGTTTTCGGTGCCACTGAACTCAAAGACATGGCTGTCAGTTGAGGTGTCAGTGAATATTTTTAGGTAACGCCCCAGTTTTCTTCCCCCTTTCGTCTCTACCAAGTTACCACTTGCCAGACTATAAGTAATAGAGAAATGCTTTGACGGGTGGCACAGCTGTCAATTGCATTTTTTTCAAGGCTTTCTTTGATAAAATTTATTTATATTCCATATCAGTGATGCCAACCTGAATTTGTGAAATTACAATAATATGTTATTAGTTTCTAAGTAATTTTCTTAATTATTGTTCATAATTAGATAATTTTGAGTGTTCATACAAATTACTTTGTTAATTTTCTTTTGAATGATAAAGCAAAAAATATCTTGTTAGATCATCTTTGTTACAAATAACGAATTTCAGAGGGCCTAATCAAGGTAAAATTTTGGTAAAAATCACTGATGATCACTTTTTAGAGCAGAAACGTCGGCCAATCATACTTAAGACGTATATCGTTAAAAAGGGAATAAAGCTTTCTACAAATGACATAAAAAAATCCAGGTCCGTATTTAAAAAAATGAAGTTGATGATGGTCGCTCGATCACGAAACGCCGGATTTGAAATTTGAAGATGCCATGTTGTAGAGCGATCAATAGTTTTTGAAATAATTGATGAAATATTTTTAGGCGTTTCTTAGAAATCCCCCTATATTTCGTGAACTAAGAGGAATTTGGCAACACTGTAAACGAGTTTTGAATAAGCAACCGACCTCGTACCTTTTACCGTTTCGGAGATAGCAATAGTGATATCACTTAAAACGGACACCCTGTGTATAGACTGACTTGAAGAAGTGGTTGGATGCTGCGGATGCTTTCAGAAACAAATCAACCGCAAGCGGCAACTACTTTGCGGTTGTCATTCGCGGTCTGCAGTTGCGGTTCGTCGCTGTAGTCGCTTTCGGAATCGTACCTTTATTGCAGTAGAGGACTACATTTACTGAAACATTCAGCTCATTTGGCATTGAAGCCGACTTTCCTTGGTGACTTCAAATGCTAAGACTTTTCGCCCTTCAAAGTTTCGAAAAGAAGTTGATCAACACCACATTATTATCCATTTAAAATCCTCCTTTCTGTACAGCCTTAGAACAATCAATTTTATGCCAAAACTAGTATTTTTCGTCCAATTTTAAGAGCAGTCTGAATTGTGTTTAGACACAACCATGTACAATTCTCGAATCAATAAAATCAACCACCAAACGCCACAAATAAAAAAAAAGCACCCGCACTTACCTTTTCGGCTTTAGCTGGAACAGTCTCAACAGGCAACTCGACTACAGGTGGCGCTGGAGCGGGTGGTTCCGGAGCAGCTTGTGCCGCTGCAGGTGGCTGTCTATCACCCATATTGACTTTTCCGCCACGGCCCCTGCCGCCACCTCTCGGTTTTCTCGGCTTCAGACCCAAAATCGCTGTGACGTTTTGACCCGTACCTAGAAGAAAATCAGATTTTTTAAAACTAAAACTCTTCACAATCTTTTATGCCCTGCATGGGGAAAAGTACAACTTTCAACTGCACATGCTTAAATGTCAAAGTCTTACCTCTACAGCTACGTTTCGGTCGACCACCGGGCGATGGAGACGCTTCAGGAGTTGCGGCATCACTACTAACCAAAGACGTTGAAGATGTTGTAGGTGAAGCTTCCACGGGTGAAAATTCTTTTCTAACCTCCAAAACGGCTTTCCTTGGTCTACCGCGTTTCTTTGGGGAAGGAGTCACTGGTGTTGCTACTCCTACGGTGAGGACAGGGGTGACTGCAATGTGGGTAGTGGCCGAGGCTATATTGGCAATTTTTGATATATCTGGGACTGGATCGTCAGAAATGACGCAGTCTGCACTGTGTTGAGACCTGAAATTTGAGAGTGATTTATTGAAAAAGCTGAACATATAATTAAAATGTTTTTGTCTAAGGTTACACCCATAATAAAAAGTTTAAAGAATAAACGAGATTTTTGTGAATACCTATAGCCTATGTTGCAATATGTGCCTCTTTTCTCATATTATAAGCACTGTTCCAACCAACATGAGAACGGTAATTTCCAGTCGATCAATTCATTTGCCAAGTAGGATAAACATTCAACTCATTGAAAAATAGGTGTGCAACTGGAAATTACTGATTCTCATGTCGGTTGGAACAGAGTTAATAACAACTTCTTTTGTCAGAGATATTTTCCAGAGAATCTTACAGTGGATAGACTGCTTTACAAGAAGAAAGACTCAGCCTGGATGGAAAACTATAGTCCCATCAATCTAATTCTGTCTTTGGAATTTGTATCAAAAAACCAGAAAGTTTTAATTTGTTGAATGCAATAGAAATAGTTGAGTGTTTATCTTGGTAAAGATTTATCTGTGTAGCGTAACATTTCATGTATAGTGACTATTTGTTAAATGCTTGTCCTGTCCTATTTGACCCTGTAATTTCTCAACTATTAAAAAAATCAGTTTACCTTGAATCCTCACTGATAACTATTGGAGAATTAAGTTTCGTCTCAACAATCCTAACAGCATCATTACTATCTTCGTTTTTGTCATCCACACTATTTTTCAATCTTTTATTTTTCTCTAATACTTTTTCCTCCAGCGGTCGTTTTTGAGAAACTTCCTCAACAAACTTACTAGGTGCTGAATAACCACTATCTGTTCTTTGTCTTTTGCTGCTGGTCTCTTCACTGTCTTGTACAATGTGAGTTGTACCTCCAGTAGTGGAAAACTTCATTTTGATGGCGGCTTTTTCTAGTTTTTCTTCTTCCGCACAGTTTCGTTTTTTCGAGTCTTTCACAGGGGAAGGCAAGTTACCTTTATTAATCTTCAAGACAATCCTTTCTTTCACTTCTTCTTCGACTTCATTTTCCACAGACAATGATTGATCGATTTGTAATGCAGGAGTTGGCAAATCACCTTTATTAATTTTCAAAACAATCCTTTCTTTTGATTCTTCCTCTGCTTCAGCTCCAACTGTTTTTACAGACAATAATTGATCGTTTCCTGATGCAGGAGGTGGCAAATCGCCTTTATTAATCTTCAAAACAATCCTTTCTTTCACTCCTTCCTCTTCTTCACCTTCCACAGTTTTTACAGACAATAACTGGTCGTTTTCTGATGCAGGAGTTGGCAAATCACCTTTGTTAATCTTCAAAACAATTCTTTCTTTCACTTCTTCCGCTGCTTCATCTTCCACAGTTTCAATCGATGGTAATTGAGGTTTTTCTAATACAGGACCTTTATTGATCTTCAAAACAATCCTTTCTTTCACTTCTTCCACTGCTTCATCTTCAACAGTTTCAACAGACAATAGTTGATCTTTTTCTAATAAACTGGGCACTTGTTTCATTTTTTTCGATTTTGTGGGAGATTCTATTTGCGGTTTCACAACTTTAGGACTAGATCTTCCTTGTTCAACGTCAGTAATGTCTTCTTCTAAATGTCTTTTAATTGCTTTTATATTCAATTTTGGAACTTCTTCTTTTTCCTCTTCCACTGGCATTGGTATAGGTTTTATCTTGATTTTTGGACTGTGATTTTTTGGTTCTTGCTCTTTTGTTGGCTAGAAAAAAAAAAGATAATGTTTACAAATTCACTATCATAAAATATAGGACTATTCTTACCTTAACACTAAGTTTTTTAGCTACCTCCTCCGGTTTCATAACAGATTTCAAAGTAAACTTCAATGGACTATGAGGGTCAGGTTTTATTTCAGTTACTGGTTTATTAATTCTCGGGCTACTGCTTCTTGTACTTGTAGGAGAATAAACTTTAGTGCTTCTTGTACTCATTTTCGGGCTGTGTTGTTTTTCGACTTGTTGTATTTTTGGCTTAAACACTGATTTACGAATTGGCTCTTCTTGTGTCTGAGACACTTCAATTTCGTCTTCCGGATCAAAGACTTTTAGAATTGAATGCATCTTGTCAGATTGTTTTGTTATGGTCATTTTTAAGCTGACTTTATTGGCGTCAGCATCAGCTGAAGTTGTACTGACTTCTTCATCAGGTGCTTTTATAGGTTTTATTGTAACTTTAGGACTGTAGATTTTCTCTTTTTTATCGACTTCCTCTACATTTATACTAAGTGGTTCAATAACTTTGTTTCGCTTAGTCCGCTTAGGTCTTTCTTCTGCGACTTGCTCAACAATAACTTTTTCAACTTGCTCTACAGAAGCCTTTTCAACCTGCTCTACAGGAGCTTTCGCAACCTGTTCTGTAGGAGCTATTTTAGCCTGTTCTACAGAAGATTCTTTAGCCTGTTCTACAGGAGCTTTTGCAACCTGTTCTATAGGAGCTACTTTAGCCTGTTCCACAGGAGCTTCTTTAGCCTGTTCTACAGGAGCTTTTGCAACCTGTTTTATAGGAGCTTCTTTAGCCTTCTCTACAGGAGCTTTCGCAACCTGTTCTATAGGACCTTCTTGAACTATTTCTACAGAAGTTTCTTCAACCGGTTCTACAGAAGCTTCTTCAACCTGTTCTACAGGGGCGTCTTTAACTTGTTCTACAGGAGCTCCTCCAACCTGTTTTACAGCAGCCTCTTCCTGTTCTAAAGGAGTTTCGTTAACCTGACCTACAGAAGCTTCTGCAACCTTTTTAACAATACTCTCTTCAAAATGTTCTACAGGCGTTTCTTGAACCTGTTCTACAGGAGTTTCTTTAACCTGTTCTACTAGAGCATCTTTGACCTGTTCCACAGGAGCTTCATTAATTTGTTCTACAGGAGCTTTTTCAATCTTTTCTACAAGTCCTTTAGTCATAGGAATCTCGATAACCTGTTCTACAGGAGTTTCTTTAACTTGTTCAACCTGTTCTACTGGAGCATCTTCAACCTGCTCAAGTGTTGCAACAGAAGCTGCTTGTTCATGTTGTTGCTCCGCTTCAACACATGTAACTAATGCTTCACTATCAGAAGCCATCAATTTTTTATCAAAATCAATTTTTCTATTTTCATTTTCAACGAGATCAACTTGTGTAGAATCAGAAGCAACTGCTTCAGAAATGTCAACTTCAGATGCATCTTCTAAACATGCTTCTATAACCCCTCCTATTTGTTCTTGTATGTCATTAGAGGTAGCTTCTGATTCTTCTTTACAAATTTCTTTTTCCTCAACAGATGTAGACTCAGCTAAGCAGGTTTCAATATCTTCTGCAGATTTAGTGTTTTCAATGTCTTCACTAACAAATTCTTCTGCTGTCATTGTATTATCCACCAAGTAGCTGTCGTAAGAGTTATCTTGAGAGCTATCAGTTATGCTAGCGACAGCCATCCGGATAGCTTCCATTTCTCTTATTTCTTTTTCACTTAATCTTCTTTCTACGTGAGATTCTGAAATTGTTTCATTTTGAAGAGATGCCACAGCCATGGCAGTTTCAAAATTTGAGGCTGCACTAATATTTTCTTTTGTAAATGAAACAATATTTTCATTCAGTGGTGAATCTACAAACTGGTCTACTTCTTCTGCAATGCTGATTAGAGTGCTTTCTTCATTATACTGGGGTATGCCTTCAGTATATTGGGATAAGTCTTCAGAAGGTTTTGGAAGGCTACTGATATCAGAATCTGATGATTCTTCACTTAGACATACTACTTTTTCCAGGTCTTGTTCCACTGTTTTCCTTCTTATGTTGACTTCAGAGACTAGTTTCGTCTGTTCAATGGGTTCGGTTAATTTATTATCTTTTACTGTCTTATCTCTATCGCCAGCCAAAGATCGAATTGTTGGCTCAACTTCACAAGTTTTCGTATATTCAGCAATAAGTGGCTGCTTTTCTTGGATAACTTCAGAGGCTTCACCTTTTTCTTCAACAGTATCTTTTTGTTTTGAGGCAGGTACCTCCTCAATATCTTGACTTTCTTCCATCTCAGTTATAATTGGCACATTTTTTTGTAATTTGACAAATTCTTCTTTCATTTCAGGATGATTTTGAATTATTTCAGATTCTGCAACTACAGGAATATTTTTTTCAATAGTTCCAGGACTTTCTTTTGATAATTGAATCACTGGGATATTTTCTTGGACTATAGTAGGTTCTGCTTCAACTGAAAGGACTTGTTCCTGAATTGCTTCAATTTGTTCTACAATAGGCACATTTATAGTTTCTTCAACATCCACATTTTCTTGAGTTATTCCTTTAAGATTTTCAGCTACTGAAACAGCTGTTTGAGATTTTTCAAGTTCAGGAACATCTTCTCGAGGCATTACCTGTTCATCAATAACAGACCTATTTTCCTGAGTTTTTTCTTCAGGTTTTTCAACTTCAGACACTTCTTTATGAGCTGTATTAACAACAGGGTCATCCTCCTGAACAGTCACTTCGGGTTTTTCATCAACTGGGGTATCTGCCTGAGCTATTTGAGATTTTTCAACTTCTGGAATGTCTTTTTGCACCATTTCAGATCCAATAGCTACTGGGACATCTTCGGGAAATGCTTTTGATTTTGTAACTCCAGAACCTTCTTGATCTATTTTAACTTTTTCAACAACTGGAACATTGTCAAGAGAGTTTTCATCAGCTTGTTTTATTACAGGGACATCTTCCTGAGCTGTTTCAGTTTCCTCAACATCGAATACAATTTTTTGAGATAATTTTTCAGGTTCTACAACAACAGGAACATCTTTATCAGGCATTCTAGAATCTTCAACCACAGGCACATGTTCTTCCACCAGAGTGATATTTTCCTGAGCATTCTTCAATTCCTTAACTATAATCAGATCTTCCTGAGCAATTTCAGGGTCTTCAACAACAGAAACACTCTCTTCGACTACAGGAACATCTTCTACAGATATTTGAGCCTCAGATACATTTGTTTCGGTTATTTCTTCAATTATTACAGGAATTACTTCTTGAGCTGTTTTAGATTCTTCTACTACACCTTCTTGTGAAGTTTCAGGGTTTTGAACAACAGAGACCTGTTCTTCTGGCTCCTCAACTACAAGAACATATTCTTCAGTCATATCAGAATCTCTAACTAGAGGTACATATTCTTCAGTTATTTCTTCAACCACACATTCTAATTCAGATTCTTTACTAGCTACAGGGACATTTTCCTGTGTATTTTCAGATTCCTCAACAACAGGCTCTACTTTCTTAGTTGATTCTTCAACTAGAGGGACATCTTCTTCTGGTTCCTCTACTAAAGGTATAATTGTTTCAGATTCTCCCTGAGTTAAATCAGATTTTTCAGCTACAGGCACATCTTCCTGTGAAATATCAGATTTTTCAACTATTGACACATTTTCCAGAGGAATATGTTCTTGAGTTGTTTCAGATTTTGTGACCACAATGACATCTTCTTGCACCACTTTAGGTTCAACTACATCTTCCTGCGTTGCTTCAGATTCTTTGACAGGCATATTTTCCTGAGTTACTTCCTCACATTTCTCAACTATAGGAGCCATTTCCAGTTCCTGAACAATAACCACGTTGTCCTGAATAGGTTTTACCTCTACTTCAGAAGTGGTATCAGGTTCTTTTTCTTCTCTAACTTCTGCTAGAGTTTCAGGAACTTCTTCAACTACATTCTCAATAATAGCTGATGGAATTTCTTCAATTATAGTAGTAATAGGAGCATCAGAAATTTCTTCAGATAGAACTTGAGATAACGGTGTAGCTTCAATGTTTGCTTCTTTAGGGGCTTCCTCTCTCAATTCTGTATTATCAATATTGGAAATACTGCATTTTTCTTCAGATGCTGCCAGCTTAGTACAAATAGGTTCTTGGGTCTTATTTTCTGAAGATTGTTTGGGTTCGATTTGTTCTGTAATTTTGATGCATTGATCAATGTCTGATTTAATATTTTCTTCATTACTTGCCTCAGAAATTTGAATAGGAACAATTTTGTCTTCTATGAGAGTTTTTTCTGATGTTGATTCCTGGGCACTAACAATATTTTCAATTGGTAACTGATCCTCAGAAACATCTTTAACAATTTGTTTTGAAGTATCTGCTCCTTTATTAGTTACCTCATCTTTTTCCTTGATTTCTGCTATTTCAGTTCCTTGCAAAACATCCTTACTAATGTTCTCTTCGAATGCAGATTCTGTAGCTTCTGTACTCTCTTGATCAATGCCACTAGTGTCCTCTACAATAAATTCAGTTTCCTCTTCCTTCTTCTCTGGAAACTCCACAGTTGGATCAATTCCTTCTGATTCAGTTTCTGTTTCACCAATATTTGTCTGTTCTTGATATAATTTCTGGCTCAGTAATGTTTGCTTATCATCTACTTCTATGGAGATATTGCATTTTTCTGCAATAACTTCTAAATCCGCAGCTGGCTTGTTTTCCAAACTTTGCCCAGATTTTGGACTATCATCGGCTACTGATTCTATCAAATTCTCTTTTCTAGAGTCTAAAGTTACATCACCTTGACTAGAAGTTGTTTCATTAATTTTTACATCTTCCTTGTCAATATCAGAGGATTGATTATCAATTTTTGTTACAGAATCCTGCAATTTATTGCAGCTTGGTTCTCCAATATTTGCTGCAATAGAAGCGGCTATTTGTGCTGTCTCAGTATTACTAGATACTTCATTGTCCAATTTTTCTTCGAGAATATTGACAAGATCGTCATGTGAGCTCACTAAAAAATAGGTTGCAATACATTAAAATATCAATAATAGGCACGAGTTTTACCTTCAGTCTTTTCCTTTTTAGATTCCACAGTCTTCCTAGTGAGTACAAAAGTATCACTTGGTTCTCCTAATAGCGTCTCCAAGTCGTTGACCAAATCGTCAACATTTTCTTCAATTTTTTCAGTTGATCGCTTCATAGACATTCCTAGAAGCTCAGCTTCAAAGGTGGCCGCAGCGTTGTCTACAGCGTCCATGTTTTTCGTTTTGGAAGATTCTGCCTCAGAAGAAGTGCTACTGATAATATCATCTGAAACTGAATGGAAAATTTAATTAGTGGCAATCCATGAAACTGTGCAGAAGAAATTAGTCAATTATGATAAGAGTAGAAATTCTCCGTTAATTAAAATAAAATTATCAAGTTATAGGAAAATTTATTTAGGTTTTCAATGCACTGTACACTAAATTATTCTGAGATTTTTGAATAAAGGACACCAGGAAAATTGGGAAATTTTCTTTTTTCTATAGTAGAAGAACAATGGGAAATGTCCATTTCAGCAAATAAGCAAATAGAAGGATTTATTTATTTCAATATAATAATCCATGAATCATCACTGAAGAATGTCTGGTGCAAAAAATGTTATGAAGTTGTTAATGAAAAAAGGGTAATGGGTAATGTAAAAAAAATATTCCTACAGCACAGTAGCTACCCGCAGCATCAAAGTTTGACAGTACCTACTTATCTTTGTGACTTATTACCTTCGTCGATTATAATAATAGTTTCACTACGAAAATGTTTTGTGTAACATATAAGAAAACCTAGAGCTTTGTAGGCTTTATTATTCATAGATATGTAATGGTTATTAAATCTAAAAGTATCCCGAAAAATAACGCCCAATAAGTCCTTAATTCATTTTTTCTCACCAATTTAACGTCTCCCACAAAGTAATCTTCAACAATACAATTAACCTTCTGGGTAATATGTGACTACCGAGCACTTTTCCCTATTCACTAGCATTCTGTTATTTTTAAACCATTTCATGGCCGCATCTAAATCAAACTGCAAGTCTGCACAATTCTTTGCACAAGAAACCGCTTTGAAAAGCTTAAAATCATCAGCATACAAGAAACTATAAATAGGATGACATTGAGGTGGATCATTTATAAATATCATAAAAAGCAGGTTGCTTCCTTGGGGAACTACTGACCTAAAAACAAACTACTAAACCTTGACAGACTGTTGGCGTTGTGACAAATATGACCTTAAAAAGCTACAGGCTTTAGAAGAGAGACCAAAATTAGCCAACTTGCTCATCAACATGCCGCGGTCTCTATCTTGTCAAATGTCTTCGCACAGTTCATGTAGCCTCTACGGTAATGAATTATGTCTGCTCATCATTTGGTCAGATGGAAACTCTATGTTCAACAATTAATGCTGAATTGTCTGATCATGAAGTAATATTCTGTTCATTTCAAGTCAATTCCACTAATTCAAGAAAACTTTTTAAACAAGGCAAGTTTGGTTTGCAAAGTTTCGGTTGCTATGCAATCAACCAGATTGGAATGGAATATTTTCAGCTAAAGCACTTCCATCTACTTTTAAGCAACTTCTTTTTATATTGTCAAGATAAAGCATAAGAAGCTAATGTTATCAGATCCCTTGTCTGTTAACATCGGCTGCTGATCTATACATCAAAAATTTTGATAATCAAAATGAAACTTTCATTATTTATTATAAAATATACTGTAAAACTTACAGAAGGGTGGTTAACGTTGCAAAAAGGTTGTACTATCGGAATCAAATTGAAAAGTCTTGCAATAAGAATAGAGAATCATGTAAACTTGTAAATATGTTTAGAGGTAGAAATTCGTCCATGATTTCCCCAAATCTCAGAGCAAATGATTTGAATTCTTTTTACTGGATATCACAGCTCCGTTGTGAACATACTCTAAGGGTAGTGGATGCACTGACTGGAGCTCAATGGACTGGAGGTATCAATGATTCCTTTGCAACTGGAAAATTTCCAAATTGTCTTAAAAGGGCCCGATTGTTCCATTGTTCAAGGGTGAAGATTGCGACATACCTTTCAATTTTCGACCCATTGCACTACTTCCTGCCCTCTCTAAAATAGTAGAAATACTAATTGCAAGTTAAACTGATATATTTTCTAATAAAGCATAAACTTCTTAGTGTCACAATTTGCGTTCCAAGCAGAGAAAAGCACAAGTGAAGCGATTTTTAACTTTTTGGAGAAAACGCTTCAGCAGTGTTCTATGTTCTGTCCAATACATTTCGCAGTGTAGATCATCTAATACTACTGGGTAAACTTAGTATCTATGGTATTGGTATTAGGGGTTTGTCTTTGGAGTGGTTGCGATCATATTTTAGTGGTAGGACTCAATCAGTTGTTTTCATTGGTCTCAATTCTTGGACCACTCTTGTTCTCGATTTTTGTCAATAACATATCTCATCTTCCAATAAGAGGAAGATTTACAGCGTTTTCGGATAATCAGACAATTCTAAGATTATTCAGGAAGATGTATTTTTGTTGAAAGAATGGTTTCATGCCTACCAATTATCCCTCAATATTTCAATAACGAATATTCTTAATTTTAAGTGTGACATTAACAACATTCAACTGAAAAATGAAGGTATCCCGAATCCAATAAATTTCTTGGCTTAACAATAGATAAAAACCTTAAGTTTTCTGAGCATGTAAAAATTTTTAATAAAGAAATTGCTTTTGGCTTTTATAAACTTAGAGTAATATCAGATAACCTCGGCCTTGAAACAGCTAGGAATGCCTACTTTTCCTTAATTCAATCACATTTGTCATATGAAATATGCTACTGGAGGTGTTGGGCAAATTCCCTTTTTAAATCTGTATTTGTGTTGCAGAAGAGAGCACTTGGAAATATATGTAGATTCAAAGGCATGCAATTTTAACCTTGTGCAGTATATTTATTCTTGAAAGTGTATGTGTTGTCTTTAAAAAATGTAATGAGGAGCTGGATAGACAATAAGCAATATGGAGCTTGTTGCTAACAAGTGCTACACTTGCCCATTCCACATTTGACATTAGTAAAGAACTCCTTTGTCTACAACGCGAACAAGTGATATATGTATGGATGGAGCCTCAGATGGAGCAATTAATTTCAAGCATGGCTTTATCAACAAGTACTATGTATTTATACAAATAAAGCTATTTTTGAAATTTGAATATAATATCCAGCACTTTCTTATCAGTGATGGCTTTAGTCACACATTCCAAGAAACAACATAGATTGGTAACTGTTATGTAGATCTGTCCTCCAGGAACCTGTGTTGGAGTTGCGATATATCATTATAAATATGACACAAAAGGTCACTGTAAAGATTTTTTTTCAAATATCTAAGACTATTCAGTAAGCTTATCGGACAGTAATTCCTTATAACCTCCCTGTTGCAATTTTTGGAAAAATTGGTAGAAAAAACTGCCATTTAAGAATATCAGGAAAGCAGCCCTGATTCAATGCTAAATTAAATATGAATCTTAATGGCTGTAAGAAAAATTCGTTATTTTTAACCTTTTGAAACGAAATGAAATTAAACATATCTTTATTAAATAGGTTGGTACACTTGATATACACAAAAAATACAATACAAAAAAAATGCCTATTAGACATACAAGTAACTATCTACAAAATACAAGTAAAAATCTGAAGAAGATAGCAGCACATTACTCTGGTTCACCCAATCACATCAAGATGGTAAATGCAATAGTAGATTAATTAATCTTTAGTTTGAATGTAATCCCTCAGTCCATCTTTGAAACGCTGAACTGCAGGAAGGCCCCTGATATCATTTGGAAAACTGTTTAATTCCTGGAAGCCTTAAAAAAACAATGAGTTCATTGTACTCTTGAAATTAGTTCTTGGAATAAAGAGATGATCATTATTCCTTATGACTTGTTACAAAAATAAAATATCCTTACAAAATAAAACAAGCCACTTGATATAAATAATAAGTCTGTTTCCACAGAAATCACAAACCAGACAGAGCGTTTTTGATTGGTGCAAATCGCCAACAACCAGTTTTCTGACTATTTTCAACGAATGAAATTCACTCTGACTGGTTTGTGATTTCTGTGGAAATAGGCCTAATAATTACACTTGGCATCAATTGAAAAAACCCATCAATACATGTTACAAATTCAATATTCTCATTATCTATCATTAATTGAGGATTAATGTCTATACTCTTCTGATATCTATTCTTAAGATGCAAAAATCATCGCCTTTGTTTTTGATACATTTAATTTCAATTTATTATTGCTCAAGTATAACTCTGTCTCTGACAAGACCCCATCCATTTTTTCTATTGCTATCACTGCAAGCCCAAAATGTATCATTGGCAAAAAGATTTATAAACTCACAGTTTACAAACATATTGATATCATTGATGTATAGTATGAAAAGAAGAGATTTCAAAGCACTCCCCTGTGGTACTCCTATATTATTACGTATTTCAGTAGATACCTCTCCATCAAATCTTACTTTTTGTTTTCTATTACTTAAATAGTCTGCAAACCATTCCAAAACACTACCAGCAATACCATAATTTTTTAATTTTGACAAGATCGCCCTATCTATCGTTTCAAAGGCACTCTTTAGATCTAAGAATACACCCACAACAAACTTATTACTATCAACATCGTTTTTGATTTTACATAATGTCAACTGAAGAGCGGATTCACACGAGTGCGGCGAAATTCAGACTGGTTAGTTATCAGGATTCCATTATTTGTAATATGTTCCAAAACTTAATCATATACTGCCATCTCCAAAACCAATGTGTTTATTGGAAGAAATTCACTGGCGTCCTTCTCTATTGGAATAATAGTACTACCTCGAGTACTACACTTTAATTTATGTACTTTACCAGTCCTGAGAGATGTGTTCAGTAGAATAACATGACCAATAGTTTTAAATATGGACCTAAGAATCTTAGCATTCAACAATTCATGAACCAGAACATTTATCAAGTATAACTGTTTATTATTTTTCGAGCATCAGACATATTCAACAACTTAAACCTAGAAACGAGGGGTCAACCACTCTATAGAAATGTGTACACGTATTGCCAAAACGTCGGTATTTCGCGAAATTCAAAGTGAAAAGACTTTTGGTCCACCCTGTATATTGACATAGCTTGGACCAAGGGGTAAACCACCATCCCAGAATTGGTGCAAACAATTCCTTAAAGGAGAATTTTTTGCGCATAATTCCAGCAAATTCCTCCAGATACCCCATCACAAATTCCTCCAAATACCCCAC